TACCATTTGCAAGGACAGTAGGATACAAAGGAGATGGATGAGGACAGTACCTCTAACCCAATAAGGGATGAGAGTGTGAATTCATGACTCTCAGCTCACACATCATGTAAATAAAACCCTCAAACAGCCCATCCCACGTGGTTCACCACTGATGATGTTTCTCTCCATGACCAAACTCTACACAAGCTCCACTGAGCTCTTTTTCAATTGAACCTTGATTTTTAGATTGTGATGTTTGTCTCTGCCTAATCTAACTTAAGCAAGAATCCTGCTAAGTTGGTTTAGCTAGAATTTCCCATTCTTCATATCTCATCACCCTTAATATTTAATCAGCTTCCCCATTCTCCCCCTCCCCCAAATGATGTCTGATCACCCTGGCCTGCCTTCAGCAAGAATCTTGTTAGGTTAGTTTAGCCACCACCCCCACCCCCACGCCCAATCCCTGATGTTTCCTCTTAGTAATCTTCTATCCACTGACCAGCCCCCTGTTCCTTGGTTGTAAATTCCCACTTGCCCATGCTGTATTTGGAGTTGAGCTCAATCTGTCTTCCCCTTTGAAAGAGTCCATTGCGGTGGTCCTACACCCATCCTGATGCCCCGCCCTGGAATAACGTCTTCCTTATTGTCTTTAACAAGTGTCATTGAATAATTGTTCCTTTAACACCATGAGCTGCCCCAGCCCTGTAACCTGGAGAAGCACCTCCACAAATCCGTTTACCTTCTGTGAGCACTGGTAACAGACACACTTGTTGTCATGCAGGTTCTTTGTCCTGCAAGCCAGGACTCAGAAAGGTCACTTCCTTTCACTTTCACACCCCTTCTCCTTCCTAGTCTCCTTTATATGTAGACGTTTTCTGGTATTGGGAGAATACGCAACCATCTAAGGCATAAAAGGTTTATTTGTTACAAAGGAAATTTATATTGAGTATTTAAAATTTAAACCCAACACATGGAACATAGAAAGCCCATAGAACATAAAGGAAAAGCAACCCAAAGGCGCATAGCTGCGTGAGGACGTATCTCTGTGCTGCCCTTACATAAATCTTTGGGAATACTACTTTTCTGAAGAAGCAGCCAATATGTTTTAATGGCAGTCTTTCTTCTAAATACAAAACAAAGAAATGTGTCTATGCAGGTACATTTTACTTGACTTTCTGTCCCTCTTTGTTTTACATTTTGAGTTGGTCCTTTTGAAATAGGGCCTGTTATGAGCTTGTTTACTTCCACTTATTTTTCTGGGTGGCACACAGAGGTACAAAATGGCATTTCAGTCCTTTCGAGGGGATGTTTATGCTTCATTTCCTATCTGAGACAGTAAGCACTGCAACTATTCTCTACAACCGTGTTTCTTCATGCTTTTAGGTTGGAACCCCAAGAAGAACTGATGAAAGCTATGGCTCTTATCTACTGGAAAAAACACATATAAAATATTGAAAACAATTTCAGCAGTATCACTTTTCCCTTGAAGCCCACCCAAGAAGAGCTCTTTTTCCATGAGAAAGAGGTTGGAAGTCCCTGCTTTATAAAGACTTATTTTCTACCTCTTTTTTTTGGGGGGGGGGTGGTCTCTGCTTGATCTTTTTCAGATAAAGTCCAGACACAGCACGTTAGTAACTGATATGATGGAAAACTCAGCAGGTGAGAGAAGAAAGAGATGCACCATAGACCTGTATTTTATCAACTCTGAGTCTGACATTTTGCCGAGGCCAAGTCTTATGCCTCGCATTTAGAGACTGTGGTTACACAGACGATTCCAAAGAACAGGAAAGTAGATAGTCAGTAGTCATGGGCCCAGACACCCAATGGTAGGTCTTTTGCACCTGCACTTCTCCAGGCCAAAAATACTCTTCCTCAGATCTTAGCATGGCCTACTCCTTTTCATCAACTGGTCTCAGTTCAAATATCACATCTGAAGAAAGCCTATTCCTAGCAATCTATCTTAAGTAATTCCCTCACCAACAAAGCCATTCTCCAGCACATTACTCTGTTCAGAGTCTTCAAAGGGCTTACCACCACCTGAAATTATTTTTTATTGCTTTTTTTCTTATTAAATATCTGCATCTCTAACTTGAATATAAATTTTATGAGAGGAGACATTTTTGTCTACAACATTCTCCACTATATCCCCAGCATTTAGAACAGCACATGGAACCTAGTAGGTAATCACAAAACATTTTGAATTAATGAATGTTATGAAACCAAACTGAGGGTCAGAGATATTTTCATCTGAGATTTTTTAAACCTATACTTTTATGCAAGTGTGGAGCTTATTACAGATATTTGAGAAGCTGTGTGCCAAACCTAACAATACCTCTGATGGGAATGTTTCTAAAATGTGCAATTGTTGCTATATTTCTTCTCTGTCATTTTTCACAGGTTTTAAAATATGTCATAAAATATTATTGGGTCAGGGACCACGTAGGCCACCAGATGGTTGAGAATGATTTATTTCCTTGATTTCATACTACTGAAGAAAGACTGCAGAAAGAAATCCAGTTCTTATCTCTGAGCTTACAGAATATGAAAGATAAAAGGGACCTTGAAGTTCATCTAGTCCAGATTCATTCTTAATTTAAAAACCCATTCTACACCACCAATGACATGGTTATCTGACCTTGACTTTAATATTTTTAGTGATGAGACACTCATTATTTTACAAGATAACCTGTCTGACACAACTGGACAGATTTTGATGAGCAAGGTCTTCCTTCTATTGATTCAAAATTTCCTTCCTGAAACTTCTGGCCCTTGAAGCAACAATGAATAAGTCTAGTTCCTGTTCTGAATTATGAACTTTGAAATATTTGAAGACATCTAAACTATCTCCCCGCCAGTGCTCTCAGCTTCAAAATAAACATCCCAAATACCTCTAGCTGTTACTCACTTATTTCTCCATCTAGATCCCTCATCTTCCTCCTGTATGATCTCTGGACACACTGCCATTAGGGAACATATGTTCTCCAGGGCTAAGTGAAATTAAGTCTTATTTTTAATTACGGATTTAATTGTGCTTATGCCGTAAAACTACTAAAATGATCCCCTTTTGTAAGCCAACTATGCATATAATTATGTACTATATCATTACCGATATCAGCATGTGTTATTAATTGTAAAATGCAAAAGCAGATTACTCTGTTATAATGAACCTCTATCTCAGCCAGAAGTCTGCATCTAAAGAATATCTCATAACTGACAATGTCAGTTTACTACTGAAAGTCTTTTGATGAAAATATGAAAAAACTTTCAAAATAATCTGGGCTATCAGTTTGCACATGCACAATAGTGTGGGTTCATTCAATCTTAAAATTCATGGAACAAGCAATCATAGACACCCTGAAAGTAAAGCATCCCATTATAAACTAGTTCTATTTGTGAAAATAATATAAGACAAACTATAAAAAATGAATTGTATTCTTGTAAAGAAAATTATATTGAATGAGTAATTGAACAGTTTTCAGCTATATAAAGTAACACTGAAGAGAACAGAATTCTGAAACTCTTAAAAAATATTTGGCACTGTTCTTTGGGACATGCCTTCGGAGCCCAAAGCATTTTATTTTGGATATCCTTAAATGCGGCATATTCTTCTCCTCTGAGATGGATTTTTTAAACAACAAAAGTTATTCATATCTAAGACATGA